ATCTGATTGACACCTGCCACCAAACTAAACTATGGCTTGCAAAACTAAAGGGCAGGGGTCTAGATCCCAAGGAGCTAAAACAAGCAACATGCTGGGATGTCACAGCACGTGAACCAACCACAGATATATAAAACTGAGATTCTACCAAGTCACACTGAACTGACATTTAACAGCAGAAACAAGCAGCTTCCCTCCTAACAAGAAACCTGATGTTTTAGATCTAGGTATCTGAAGATACTTCCTGTTTTTCCGTTATGAACACAACGTTTGCTAGTGGCTTGGAACATTGAGCACATTTATATTGTAGAGTTGGTTTATTATGGCCCTGCACTGCCTCTTAGCCATTCCCAGCCACCTGGGAATTTCTGATGCAAAAAATAGTTCGGAGAGATATTGGAAAAGGCAGAAGCTAGAAGCTAATTTTGTGAGTTGTCGTGAGTGCAATTTTTAACTGTGTGAGACGGTAGCAACCAGGCATCCTCTGCAGAGACTCTTCAGAGCCTGTGAGCCAACATGCCATCCTCTTCCAGCCATCCCCACATTCCTCTACCCCCAAACCCCAATGTCTCTTCTGTGGTTCTTGGCTGGGTCCTTTTGCTTCGTTGTTTTGGGGATTGCTTCTAAGATGCTTGGGATTGAAGCTGCAAAGGGTCCTGGAGATACAGTGGAAGGGATGTTGACCTGCAGATTGCCTTTCACATCTCTATAAGGGAACACTTCTCCAGAAACCTGAAGGTCAAACAGAATTGCTGAGAACTTCCCCATCAAGGGCTTTTATGACCAAGAAATATCTTATCTTATTAAAGATAACCAGCAGGGGGCCTCTTGTGTCAACCTCAGGTCAACAGACTTTTCTAGAGCGTATCTCGCCCATCCTTTGCTTCTACTGCTCAGTCACCCTCTCTCTCTCTCTCTCTCTCTCTCTCTCTCTCTCTCTCTCTCTCTCTCTCTCTCTCTCTCTCTCTCTCTCTCTCTCTCTCTCGGGGTCTTCTCCATGGTTCAGGTTAGGCCCCCCTATTCCATCCACATGCTACCTATGGTCCTTGGCCCCCAATAGGTTGTGTGCCCATTAATTAGCCAATTTTCTTCAGTTCTGTATATTTTTTTTCCCTTAATCACTGCACTCGGTTTCACTAATGTGAAAGAAGAACCTTTTTTCCAAAGCTCCAGAAGGCAGGACAAGAAGCAACGGATGGAAACTAATCAAGGAGAGAAGCAACCTAGAACTGAGGAGGAATTTCCTGACAGTGGGAACAATTAAAACCAGTGGAACAGCTTGCCTCCAGAAGTCGTGGGTGCTTCATCCCTGGAGGTTTTTAAGTAGAGACTGGACAACCATTTGTCTGAAATGGTTATAGGGTTTCCTGCTTGAGTAGGGGGTTGGACTAGATGATCTCCAAGGCCCCTTCCAACTCTGTTGTTCTGTTCTGTTAATGTATTGTACTCGTTTTGCACAGTTCTAGAGCTTCAAAGGACTGGCTTCCTCTCAGACAGTTAACAAAATAATGAAGTTAGAAGGGACCTTGGAGGTTCTCTAGTCCAACCCTCTGCTCAAGCAGGAAATCCTGTTCCATTTAAGACAAATTGTTATTCAATCTCTTCTTAAAAACCTCCAGTGTTGGAGCAACCAAAACCTGTGGAAGCAAGTCGTTTCAGTTCTTTCAGATCATCTTTCCCTCCTCCTCCTCCTTTTTTCCCTTATCAAAACTTCCATATTTTGGAGCTAGTTGATCCCATTTTCTTCATAGATCCATTTCTCAGAAACCACACATGCTTTGAGCATCCATATCGGTCCAAAAACCTGCTCTCTCTGAAATATACCCCAGCATTACTTTATTTCCACACCGAGTGACACGCTGCCAACTTCTTGATCCTGGACCCCTGAAAAACAACAAGCACCGATGAAAGCTCATCATGTTTTCTTTCTTTTTTTAACACTCCAAAGGGTTTTATTTTATAAAAAGAAGTGGAGTAACCGGTAACGTTGGCCCCCAGGCGATCCATTGCTATTTCAAGATACAGCTGGTGTGTGTCTGAATATACAAAGATGGCTTTTCAAGGAAGATGAGCAGAGTTGGAAATACTCCCCCTCAAACTGATGCCCAGTTATTTGTCTGGAGTAAATAGTCTTTAAATATTGACTCTTGTCCGCCAAGCTTTTCATCAGAAAGAGAACTGGGCAAGTCAGCAGGTATCTGGAACCACAAAACAGAACTGATATGCGCCTCACAATTATTGGGGAGATTAAGGCTTCCAAACAATGTCTCACAAAGGGGCAGGATGAGGCCATTTGTGGGACGTGGCCATCTTAGCCAAGTGGAAATCGGAAATCGCATAATGTTAGCTGGGAGCTGAGGGACTTGTCATCACACATCTGAATGTCTGTGGAGATTCTCAGTCATCCAAGTCACAATTGTCTCAAAGGTGTTTGTTCAAAAGGCAACTGGATTCTTTTTTTTTTTTTTTTTCCCTCGAGGAAGAAAAAAAAGACGTTTTGCTTCTCATCCAAGATCGATCTTCTTCTTCTTCGTTGTCCTCAAGGAAAAAACAGTCCAGTTGCCTTTGGAAAAAGCACCTTTGAGAATGACTTGTCTGAAGTTCTTTGGTTTCCTTCAAAACCAACACTAATCGCAGCTGTTGAACTTCTGTGAAGTGGCGCCTTGCCATTTTCTCACGGAGGACTCAGAAATATTGCCCTGTAACCTCACAACTAGGCTTCAGGCTATTTCTGAAGATACAGAAAGAACCTCCATCTTCATCTCACTTCTGGCAGAAAGTTCTCACACTGTGCTGTTCGGGTGCACAACATGAACGTACCCGGTTTATCTCTCCGTTGCCTTCACCCTTCCAAAAATAAGAGGCCACAGGTCATAAAAGAAACTTATCCAGCTCCATTTTAAAGGAAGATTATTCCTTTCATTTGAGCCTTTTGCTTCTTCTTCAACACACAGCATGCCTGCATTTATGGAATCTAAACCAGGAATTGTGGATAAAGGGTCTTTCATCACACAGGGTATTTTTTTTCAACCTTGTGAATTAAAAATACCATATTAATACTACCCTTGAGTTTGCCTTTGTTTTAAGGCTGGCTGCAGCAGAATCTCACAGATGGGGACTTTTCAGTAAAGGTCTTGTAGCTTCAGAATTCCTGTTTGATGCTAACTACTACTATAGTAGTACTAGTAGCAACAGCAGCAGCAATAGTAATAATTATTAAATTTATGTGTTGCCCAACTTTTAGTGACTCTGAACAGTTAACATTTTCTTTAAAAAAAAATTAAAAAGTGAAGAGTAAAAATAGCAAAACTGGGTGGAAAAGGAAAACAACCTACACAGTCCAAAGGAGGGTCCACTGTGCCTCATCAAGTTTCTTCACAACTCTTCTACACAACAACTGAGAAGTCTCTTAAATCTTGGGGGGGGGCTCATTTCAGAAGGCAGGGCCTGCCACAGAGAAGTTTCCCAATAAATGGCATTATTTAATCCAAGAAACCTCACGAATGCCATTATCAACTGTGGCAGATCAAATCAGCAAGACAGACGCTATGGGAGACAGGTGGTTACTCAAGCATGCCATGTACAGTATGTTTGGGACACTCATTTAAAAAAGAAAAAAAGTTGAAAATGCTTTTTGATTTTCATCCACATTTCATCTTTTCCATTCTGATTATTGATTCAGACACCTTCCTGTGATTATTTGAAAAGGAATTAAAGGGGAATTCCCTTAAACCCTGTTTTGTTTTGTTTTGTTTTAATCAATGGAGATGAAATTATGGAAATATCTGGTCTATTTGTAGCTGGGATTTGAAGAACGTGCTTAAGAAATAGGATAAAAAGTCCAAGAATGTACATTTGAGAGATGTGTGTCGTGTTCTTTGATAAATCTTAAAGCAAAGCATATCAGTCACCAGGATCAAAAAAAAAAAAAAAACACCAAAAACCAAGAAGGAGAATTACATGCAATGGACAATTTGAGAAGAACGTAGAATAACAGAGGTGGGAAGGGACCTTGTAGGTCTTCCCAAAGATGAAGTCTAGTAGAGGATCAACGAAAAAGGGCAAGGATGAAGTTGACTTCTGTCTTCTATTTCTAATGCCGAGAGAGTCCTACAAGACTTTTTATTATTACTTCTAAGAGGTTACTATGCACCAGCAAAGAACATAGGAAAAAGTTAAGTTCTGAATAATACAACCAACACAAGAAAATATGACAAAGAGCAAACTCCCCCGTCCCTCGCCCCCCCCTCCCCGTTCCAAACAATTGATGAAGAAGAACTGGAGACCTTATTACATTTCATGACATCCCTACCCATTTTCCAGAAATCTTGGCTACCCCAATTGAAAACGTCAAGATGAAAATCTTGGCTTCCTTCCTCCTTGAAAGCAACTTTGGGGATTGATGCCAGCAATGTACGCGGGAGAGGGGAAAGGATGCTTCCATTCTCCCCTGATTTGGAAATTTCTCTTGGGCAGATCGTTTTCCACCTGGAGCTGGGGGGGAACCACGGCCCCACCTCCCACCACGAGTGATTTTAAGGCAGAATAGAATCCGTGCAAAAAAAGAGAGAGGAAAATTGGGAGGACCGTTTTTTCCCATGTGGAAATTCACGATAAATCAAGGAGTGCAGTTTTGCTGGCTGCGGGATCGATCTGGAGCTGGGAAAGAGTTAACCAAGAGAGAATAAAAGGGTTTTTTTGGGGGGGAGAGGGAGGGAGGGAGAGAAAACGTTTGAGCTGACACTTCATCTGGGGAGGCGGATCCTCCTGATGCCTGATTGGCCTCAAGTTCCATCCCAAAACTTCACCACCCCCTCTTTCCCCCCCCCTTTTTTTTCCTCTCTCCCCCCCTCCCCAATTCTCCTCCTCCTCCTCCAGCTCTCTGCTCCCTGGGGAGGAGAATGCAGAATAGTGAGCGAGATCAAAAATAAACCTCTTATGTCAAAGCAGAGGAAAGAAAGTATAAATACCGGAGCTCTTTGCAGCTTTCTTTGCAAGGAGCTACTCAGGGAGAGCAAGCGCTCGTCCAAGGAAGGAAAAGCGGGAGGGGAGGTAAACTCAAAGGGAGAAAGAGAAAAGAAAGAAAGAAAGAGAGAGGGAGAGAGAGAGAGAGAGAGAGAGAGAGAGAGAGAGAGAGAGAGAGAGAGAGAGAGAGAGAGAGAGAGAGAGAGAGAGAGAGAGAGAGAAATTAGAATCCTCCAAGAATCCTTTCGTCTCTGTGCGCTTTTCCCAACTGGACAAGTTGTCTTGCTGGTGCTGCTGTTTCTTGTCTGGTTTTGTGACAGTTGCTTTTGCAAAAGTCTAGGAGGTCCTGAGGAAGCTGAGTAGGTGAAGAAATCACGGTTGGGGCAGAAAAGGATTTTTCACCCTTTGCACCCTGGGCAACTTTGCTGCTAACTCAGCTGATCCCTTATTTCTCCCCTCCCCTCCCCTCGCTCTCTTCAACCTTTGCCTCATTCTGTTTCTCTGCTTGATTCCTAGTCCTCCGTTTTGCAGGATTGCACCTTTATCTCAAGCCAGTTGGGCACTTGCTTCTCTGGTGAATCTCCACCCCTCTCTCTCTCTCTCTCTCTCTCTCTCTCTCAACTTGTTTTCTGCTCCTTCTCCAACTTCTAGCATCTATGCCACTTCCTTTTCAGCAGCAATCCTTCGCTAGCTGGAGGGCAGCTCTCTTTACATTCTTCCCCTTGTTGCTGCTTCAAAATGCCTGGGCATTATCTCTCCAGAATAGCGATGTTCAGGAGGGGGTGCCCGTCTGGGAAAATATGCCTCTGGGCAGGGGCAGGCAGGTCTCCTTCTCCATCACGGCCTTTGGGAAAGTGCTCCTGCTGCAGCTGGAACCCGATGCCAGCTTCTTGGCTCCTGGGCTGAAGATTCAACATGTTGGTAGAAGGGAATCTATTGGGTTCTTGACTGAGAAGGAGGAGGAGGAGGAGGAGGAGGAGGAGGATGTGAAGCTCAGAAGATGCTTCTACTCAGGGACTGTCAATGCACAACCAGACTCCCTAGTGGCTGTCAGCTTATGTCAGGGCATCCATGGCTCCTTCTTTGTGGATGGAGACAAGTACGTCATCCAGCCCCAAAATCGTGGAAGCAAGGATCCCCTGATGCAGGTTCATCAGATCCAGAAGAGAAGCTGGTCAAAAGAAGCTGCCAAGGACATGCGAGGAGGGGAAGCCCAGCTGGAACCCAACAGCACCACCCTGCACCGAGCGAAGCGGTTCACCTCCCAGGCTCGCTATGTGGAGACCCTGCTAGTGGCGGATACCTCCATGGTCCAGTTCTACGGGCACGATCTGATGGTAAGAGAGATGCTTTTCTACTCCTCCTCCTTATCTTCCCAGGCTCAGAACTCAGACAGTGCATGCCAAGTGTTTAGAGCAAGAAACGGGGCATTCTTGTTGCATGATGTAGTAGGGCCACCTTGATGAAATGCAGCCGCGTGTTATAATCATGGTAAGCCCTCCAGATCATCGATCTTGAATTCATAAGGCAGTCTTCCCCTCTATACTACGAGGGTAACTTTACAGAGCAGTTTTTGCAAGTCACAAGAGAGCAAAGGACTAGGTACTACCGGTAGTACAAAAGGGAAAAGACACAAAGAGGGCCAAAGTGAAGGTATGGACAGGGTCACTGCAGGACAAATATGGTGTCTTTAAGCTTGCCTTTTATAGAAGAGCAGAATTCTCTATTAACAGGAGGCTCGGAGTAGCTAGGGAACAAGGATGCCTCCCATGTGCTGTATTTTTTTCACAGCATGATGTCATTGCATCCTGCATTCTCCTTCTCCTGACTGGCATCCCTGGATGAGGCCAAGCGACATTTCGGATAAAGTCACACGTATGCTGATACAAGTTACAAGAGAAAGCTTAACACCTAGATGATATTTTTTTGGCCGCAGTCCCGGGGCTCCAGTAACGCGGAGTTCCAGCGTGACTATGGAAATTGGCTACTGCCTCGGCAGGTTGGCAGGAGAAAGAGATCTGCATTTTTTAGCCAATTTCTATAGATATTCTGATTTGGCCTCCTGCTCCTTCTCTCTGGGGGAAAGCATCTAGTAGAAGCTGAAAGCCTGCTGTGTTCTTTAGCAGAAAGTTAAGACTCTCTTTTCTGTATGTCCTCTAAATTTTTACTTTTACAAAAAAGAAAGTCTACCTTTAAATTTCTTCCCTTCCCTTCCCTTCCCTTTCCTAGCAAAAGACTTTTTAGAGTTTTGGGAGTCTGTATGATTGCACATTAATATAATACCGTTCAGTAAAATGTAAGATGGAATACTTTGATTTTCCTACACTTAAGGATCTGTGCTCTGTACTAAACGGCTGGCAAGAGAACTATGAAACAATTTAACATGATATGCATGTACGTGTCATATTTTGGTGTCTTCTGAATGAATGCAAGATCTTCCATGTTGGACAGTTCAGGGTCTTCTTGCTTAATCCTTGGCAGATTAGAAACATTGCTTAGCTTGTTTGGGAAGAAGACAAGTCTAGACACCCAACCATATGTTAACTTTCAGATCCTGGAGAGTATGGTTTGTTTGTGTCTGTCTGTCTGCCTCTGAGAGAAGGGGGGGGGGAGAGAGGAGAGAGAGGGAGAGAGAGAGAGATGGGGGAGAGAGAGAAGAAATTCTGCTTATTTTTTCAGATCCCTGAAGAAAATATTAAACCTGAGTAACTCCATGCCAGTTTCCATGAAAACTTGAATTCGAATCTACTAGTTCTAATTGGGAAAGTGTTCTGCCTTGAATGTATGTCCAAAAATGCTCTGACTGCTATGTTTCAGAGAATAAATTAATCTGTTAAGGATTAATAGAGAAGAAAGAGAGAAACTGTTTCGTGCAAAGTCTTCTAAGTCCATTTGTAAAATTTATTGGCTTTGCTTAATGTCCGTTAAAAGATTTTAGGATGAAAATAATCGGGGGTGGTAGACATGGTCTACTAGCGAAAAATAAATAAAAAGAGAAGCTGAAGTATGCATTGTCGTTCAGTTTAGCAATGGAAACAGTGTTTGGTGTGTTCAGGGGTTTTGTTGTAACTCTGCCCTTCCGCTTGACTATCATCTTAGGATACACCTTCTTTAGTACGTGACTTGGGGTGATCAATATATGATCCCCAAACTAAGCGTGTACGGAACCCGTGCATAAATCATATAATGGATGAAAGAGCATTTTAAGTATCAGCATTTGTTACATGAAAGCAATGAAACTTGGGAAATGTGGCCTTTTATGTAGCATTCACATAAGAATTGCTGTATTAACTTCAACCCATTACTGAGTTCCCTCCTACATCCGACCTTGAATTAGCACAAAACCAAGTAGCTGTCCCCACTGCTTTTATTATGTTTGTTTTAAGTCACCCCCAAATGTTGACTTGTTCAACAACCCATGACCAAAAAACCCCCATTATTTGGCTAAATACCTGAAGCCCATTGCTGATTAAACCCATATTTGCTTAGCTTCCTCTTAGCTGATATCATGTTCCTTCAATCCATTCAAACTGCCTATCAAGGCTATTTAATTCATTCCTCTGTGGTTCACTGGTTATACACACAGATGCATATTTAATTTTTAAAAATTACAATTAAAAACAATAGATGGAAACATTCCGGTAGATTATGATACATAAATGCATACATTTAGAACTCTCGCAGCTGCCATTTGGCAGAAGTAAGCTTACACAAGGGACAATTCCTGCCACACGTTTTCAAGTTTCAAATGACACACAGTCTAAAGAGAGTTCCAGAGAGGGACAATCATCTTGGTATCTGGAGGCACTCCTGTGTGTGAGAGACCCTCTACAAATTGGCGCATTCTGTGTTCTTGACAATGCATATTTGAAACTCAAAATAGTTGTATGTCAATAAAGATTCACAGTCATCCAGGTAAAGTTGTCTGAAAGTTGAGTTCCTTGGATGAGCAGCAAAAGTCTCCAACCATCAAGAAATAAGTTCAGTTCCCATGACTCAACTTTCAGTCCAAATTATAAGATGGGTGGGGGCTCTGTGGTTGCTGTCTGTGGCTTTTTTTTTTTTTTTTGCAGTTGTGGTTTTGTTTTGTTTTTCTCCTGTTCCCCTGATTCTGAAAACTAAGGATGCTCTTCTAGATATCTATGGAGATCCTCAGTCATCCAGGTCACGGTGTCCTAAAGGTGCTTTTTCAAAAGGCAACTGGACTTTGTTTTTCTTTGGACGATGCTCCTCTAGGTATCTGCAGCTGGAATATCAGCATCCAATGCACCCTTGCTAAGAAATTCACAGTCATTTAGGAGAGGACATTTTTTCTCAAGCTCTGCTGGAAAGGTGGTTGCCACAGACAGCAGCCACAGATGCCTCCTCCCCACTTGTCTGCCAAAGAGCTGTTGACTCCAGGACTGCTAAGGTTTTCCATCCTTAATTTGCACAATGACTTTAAGTTTTGTGATGGATGTAAGTGTGTCTTATGTCTGCAGATGGTGGCTTCTTAGCCCTCCCACCTGTTGAATGCCATCAAGAACGTGCCGTTTCGATTTGGGGTTTTTTTCCCCCCCCCCCCAAGAAACAGGATCTGCACTTGATCTGGCACACTGAGGTATGAGCAGAACACCTCATGCTCCTGCAGCCCTTAAATTTAAAGAGCACGGTCCCTGACTCCAGCCAGCCATAGTATCAAGCTACTCGGAAAAATATAGCCAATCTTTTTTCAAAAAATGTTCTTCCAGGGTCTGTGAAAGCTCTGTCTTCTAGACGGAGACATAGTGTTAGAGCTACGCTGTTCTGCCAAAAGAGCTCTCCTTTCTTTATTCCCAGCATCTTAAACTAACCCTAGGGTAAAATGAGCCTCCACAGCCAACACTCATTGCTTCCTTAATTGTTTTTTTTTTTTCTTTTTTTAGAAACAATTTGCAGAGTACATGATCATCACTAAGGCTTGGTTGTAAACTCTTGGTGGACTGCCACATCTTTTCTCTGACCGCCATTAGACTTTAACAGGTGTCTCAGCCACTGCCAGCAATTCAGCAGGGAAAGCTTCCCCAGCCACAAACGTGCAAATGAGGCAGAAAGAGGGAACCTCGGAGCTGTCTGAGTGTTGCTGTTTTCTTACAGACATTTCATTACCCAACTAGGTAATGCCATCAGGGCACCCAGCTTCCTTTGTGCCAAGGCAGGACTAGAACTCACAGTCTCCTGGTGAATGGCCCAAAGTCATCCAGCTGCTTTTGTGCCTGAGGTGGGACTAGAACTCACAGTCTCCTGGTGAATGGCCCAAAGTCATCCCATTGCTTTTGTGCTTAAGGAGGAACTAGAACTCACAGTCTCCTGGTGAATGGCCCAAAGTCACCCAGCTGCTTTTGTGCCTGAGGTGGGACTAGAACTCACAGTCTCCTGGTGAATGGCCCAAAGTCACCCAGCTGCTTTTGTGCCTGAGGTGGGACTAGAACTCACAGTCTCCTGGTGAATGGCCCAAAGTCACCCAGCTGCTTTTGTGCCTGAGGTGGGACTAGAACTCACAGTCTCCTGGTGAATGGCCCAAAGTCATCCCGCTGCTTTTGTGCCTGAGGTGGGACTAGAACTCACAGTCTCCTGGTGAATGGCCCAAAGTCATCCAGCTGCTTTTGTGCCTGAGGTGGGACTAGAACTCACAGTCTCCTGGTGAATGGCCCAAAGTCACCCAGCTGCTTTTGTGCCTGAGGTGGGACTAGAACTCACAGTCTCCTGGTGAATGGCCCAAAGTCACCCAGCTGCTTTTGTGCCTGAGGTGGGACTAGAACTCACAGTCTCCTGGTGAATGGCCCAAAGTCATCCAGCTGCTTTTGTGCCTGAGGTGGGACTAGAACTCACAGTCTCCTGGTGAATGGCCCAAAGTCACCCAGCTGCTTTTGTGCCTGAGGTGGGACTAGAACTCACAGTCTCCTGGTGAATGGCCCAAAGTCATCCCGCTGCTTTTGTGCTTAAGGAGGAACTAGAACTCACAGACCCCCAGTTTCTAGTCTGTTGCCTTAACCATTGCACTAAACAGTGTTGGAAGAAAATGTCATGGGCCATACATCCTAGTTCCCCGCCCTCCCCCCATAAGATAGCCTATGATACTGATTCAGGAACGAGAAAAATAGTTCACTTTTCTGCAGTATAGACAGGCTACCACCTCATCCCTCATCACAGGCAGATAAATATCCTATGCGTGCCCTGGTCAATGTTTTTTTTTTTCTCCTGCTGAAAAATAGAGATCAGGGGTCTTCAACCTTGCCCACTTTAGTATTTGTGGACTTCAACTCTTAGAATTCCTCAGCCAGCATGGCTGGCTGAGGAATTCTGGGAATTGAAGTCC